CGTCCCCTTTCTTTCTTTCCTGCATCTGCACGTTCACTTGCTCCTCTCCAGCTTCTTCTTCCTCCTCAGAATAAATTTAAACTAAAAAAACAACAACTGATTAAACACTCATGAAAAAAACACCTTGTATTACCATTTCCACCAAATAACAACATTCTCCCTAGTTCTGCTGTCATGTCCTTATCATTTGTCTTTCAGCATCGATTTTGCAATGTTTTTCATGTTTTCAATAAAATCTGTCAAATTTTCTCTCTCTCTCACGTGTGTGTGTTATGCAACACTTTCAGTTCCTAATATATGTCATGTGATTTCAAAGAACACTGGTATTGTTTATGTCTTTAAAAGCCACCAGAGAGGGTTAAAGGTGTACAGGGACACACCGACTAACTCTACAGTACACACACACACACACATACATATGTGTGTGTGTGTGTCCCTGTACACCTTTAACCCTCTCTCTGTTTATGTGGCTTTTAAAGACACATAAACAATACCAGTGTTCTTTGAAATCACATGACATAAGGAACTGAAAGTGTTGCATAACACATACACACACACACACACATACACTGTGTGTGTATATATATATTAGGGCTGGGTAAAAAATATTGATATCTCGATTTTAATCGATTCAGATTTTTACGGAACGATATCGATTCTTAAATCTCAAGAATCGATTAGTCTAGCCTGTTTTCAGTTAATGGACAGAACATTGAAGGGACCTCCCATCCGACGTCTTTTCATGACTAAACATCCGAAGGTAAGTTAAAAGAAGGAGTACAACTTTACAATCCGTATCCCGTCTCATGTAATCGCTTAGAAACAACAAAAACAGCTCCTATCATGTCGTTTCAGTCATACTCAAATATAGAACGTGCTGTTTATACCGTTTATTTTTTTTTTTTTATAATAATACATACTTTTACCCATAGGCGCCTACCCAGATATGCGCCATTAACCAAGTTATAGCTTAGTGCGTGTCCATAATGTCCATGTCCATTTCTTATAGAAGCTGTCAATATGCTTTATGTAAATTACTTGTGATTAAGCTCCGTTTTTGTAACTGATGGAGAGAAATGTGAATTATATGCTGGATTTTAACTAATCGTTAGGCTAAGTAAGAATGTCAAAATGTTGTAAGTTATTATTTATGTAGAGCTGAATAAAAAAAGTAGGCTAAGCGTTTCTAGCCAATCGTAAATAAAGCTTAATATTTTTCTTAGACACAAAAAAATCGTATAAATCATATTGACAGCTTCTGTGTTCGTCTTGTGTCCTTGTTTGTAATTTGTTCCTTGTTGTCTGTTTTGTAACTGAAGACCTGGAGCAATATAATTTTTAAAATTTATAAAATATAATTTTATTTTAGCTAATTGTTAAGTGAGAATATTATGTTTAAAGTCATTATAATAAACACTACAGTATTCCATTAAAAAATAAGAATTTTAAATTTTTATTTCATGGTGACTTTAAGTCATTATTTGTACACAGAGATTCATTTAAAAAAATGAAAAGGTGTGTTTCTAACCAAGGTGAACACGCCGAGTGTTCATAATATTTTTATTAGGCTGAATGTTGAAGATGTCCGTATGAATGTTGAAGATGTCCGTATGTTTCATGTGCATTTATTGTGTCTATAGCTCCGTTTCTGTAACTGAAGAACTGAAAATAAATAAAAGGCGTAAGTTTGTCACGTCAATCGTAAGTGAACACGTGTGCAATATTTACAGAATTCAGTATTTACAGAAGCTGTCAATAATGAATGAATAATGAATTTCTTATGTATATACTCCATTGTAACTTAAGATCCTGAGCAAAATGAATTGTTCGTTGTGAATTTGATAAAATGATTTAAGTTATAATTTGCTTATGGCAATTAAAAATTTAAAACAAGTTAAAATGGGTAAATCTCCTATACATATTTTTGATTCTTCATTTTCTTTCCTGACATACCCCAATTTGTGTTAAAACACACTAGACATGCTTATTCTGTGCATTTTTAGCACGTTTTGTGTGAAATCATATTTATTTTGTCCATCAAAAGTGTGCTGTCACTTTAATTGAGTGTGAGCGGCGCAGCAAAAATAGACTTGGCGCCGAAACCATCGCTGCAGCGCTGCTCACGCAATGCTCCTGCTCCCGGTGTGAATGCACTCATTTGTTAATATGCACGCCGAAAAAAATATGCGCTGCTCACGCTTGCGGTGTGAAACAGGCATAAATTTGTTTTATCACATCTTATAATTACCACAAACTTGTTAACACTCGACACTTACCACTGAGAAACGTCCTGCTCCAGTCGTGCTTGTCAGTCTCTTGTCAATGTGCCACTTCAACCGTTTCATTATCAGACTACGGCACAAATTGGTAATGTACAATCGATACCATCTTTTCTATGTATTGACAAGTCTCCAGGGCTGTCATTCAGTTATGGCAATGGGTGTTTCCTTTCCGACACTCGCTGTACGCGGTAGACCAATCACAAAGGACTGCGCCATCTGACCAATCACAGCAGTGAGGGCTCACGGAAAGGAGGGGTTAAGAGACTGATTCTTTGAACTGCTTTGCACGAGTCGTTTAATTACGAATCATCTAGAAATGAGGTAAAATTAAATTATTTTTTGAGAAAACTAACGTGTTTTTTGACCTTGTGTGATGGTCTTGCCTGGGCGGTCTGCCTTCTGCACAATGGATACAGTGTGTAAATAGGGTTTCACCTATTCAGTAAGAGAATAAACCATTTCCACAGCAATGCTTCGTTAACTCTGCTCTGTTTAATTTAAAACAGTTCTCTTTTTTAATTCTGTCACTTAAATTATTTTAAAATTTGTGATCGTATAGGGTTTCAGTTTTAAATATTAACAATTTGAATATAGATGACACACATTTTTAATTAATTATAAATCACAAATCAATGAATGAAGATCCTCAATGAAATACAGAGCAATACAATTAAACTCACAGTTAAGGGAAACATCCCCACCTAGCGGAGAACTTGAGCAACTCATTTTGAATCAAACAATTTAACACAAACATTTAACAACATACCTGCACAATGGAGACAGTGTGTGTAAATAGGGTTTCACTGATTCAAGAAAGAGAATAAACCATTTCTACATAAAACACAAGAAAACACACAAATTGATTACAGTCTCGTAATATAAACACATTATAACTCAATATTGAGCAACAGACTCGACGCCAAACATGGCTTAACAGAGTCCCAACACATTCATTGAAAGATAGTCACAATAAAGCAAATGTTTGTGTGTTTTGGACACTTATAAGTGCTAATTCTCAGACCGCGAAAAACGTGCAACTTACCCACAGCAATGCTTCGTTAACTCTGCTGTGGGCGGTCCCTACTCCACGCGCTAAATCACATCACGCACCACATAGATGGCGCTGTCCCCATTTATGCAATAATTTAACATACCTTTTCACTCCGTTACACTTGCATGCATGTAAATCTGTTTTAGGAGACTCATAAAACAATATTAGCAACCTTAAAAATGGCATAATAGGGGCACTCTAATGGAGCCTTTATTTCTGCCCCCAGGTGAAAAAAGTGCACTTCCATTATATGCTTAAAGTTCTCTATTTTCGCACACTGATTTTGTACTTAATATACTAAAAATGATTCTTTAGTACTTCTTAAAATAAACTTAAGATCATCTAGGCATACTCAACTGTGCTATTTTTGGACACCATGAATATGAACTAAAATGTGCTTTTAATATACTATCTCTGTATTTAAAAAATGTATTTAGTTACTTGTAGTACACTTGAACCCATCTTTGTCTTGCGCATTTACTTCCTGTCGCGCGCACGCGCTCTCAAGTGGCCAAGACCGCAAGTGTGGGTATTTGGACAAGGGGATACACTAGTACACTCAAGTGTACTACAATTGGTGACTAAATAATTTTTTTTACTTAAGATGATCTTAAGTTTATCTTAAGAAGTACTAAAGAATAATTTTTAGTATATTAAGCACAAAATTATTGCGTGAAAATAGAGCACTTTAAGTACATTATGGAAGAGTACTTTTTTCACCTGGGCTAGCTGCTAATCCTGTATGACTGAATCTGCATCTTAACAGCACGAGTTGAAGAGTTTCTGTTACATTCTGCTTACATTTGGCTGCAGGGGTGGCAAACTCCGGTCCTGGACAGCCGCAGTCCTGCAGAGTTCACATTTAACCATAATAAAAACTCACCTGCCTGTAGCTTCCTAGTAACCCTTCAGACCTTTGTTTAGCTTGTTTAGGTGTGTTTGATTAGGGTTAAACCAAAATTCTGCAGGGCTGTGGCTCACCAGGACCAACGTTCGCCACCCCTGGTTTACTGTAATGCTAGTTGGAGGTTGGATTTCTTCTTACCAGAGATTTAAGTAAACCACAAACGCTAAACTAATTTGGTTGCACCATTGATTTCTGATATCTTAATTACATGTTGTGTGGTGCAAGAACCTGACCAACTGAATATTTACTTTTCTTTTCAGTGATAAAATGACCGATTCAAATCTAGATGCCATGAACACTCCTGTAGAGGCAGAAGGAGAGTACAGCACAGATGAGTCAAATCTATATTTTGAAGACCTCACTGAATCTAAACAGAAAATGCATGCAGAGAGCTCAGTCCTTGAACACATTTATGATCCAGTTAAAAAGGAAGTCCGTGACGAAACACTTAATGTGCAGGCAGCTTCATTTCCCTCCACATCACAAGATCAAACCACTAAAACCGAAGTAAGTACAGAGCACAGTACTGAAACAATTAGATAAACCAAACTGATGAACACAGCAGAACACAAGCGCAATATAAGTTCAGTTTTCCACAAAAGTAGTTTTCCACTCTAAAGAGACAATAATGTTTAGTACACAAACTCTTGCACAATTAAAAGCTCAAAATCCTAATTATTAATAATAATTAATATTGTTTCCTTTGGATAATGAGCAGGCTATGGAAAAAGGGAGTAACAAACCTGATGGTCATGCAGATATGAGTGAAGCACCTGAACTTTATGATTCTGATTCATCACTCAAAAGCACAAGTAAGTAAACAATATTGCTTATTAATAAGTTTTGTTCTAATGCTGTGTTGTATTGGTGTGTTTAACTATATTTCTTTGGTGTTTATTCTAGATAGCGCATTTCCCAAGCTAACCATTGTATTTACTGGGAACTCGTCAGCTGTCCAGTTTGGAAATGAAAACATCCTATTAGGGGAAAAACAACAAAATATTGAAAATGCAGAAATATCCAAGATTGTTCCTTTACAGAGAAAGATATCAGAACATCATGTCTCACTGATTAACATGATGACCAGCTTACACGAGGCTGATCACCTTTACTGTTTTAATCAAATTGATCAACTAGTGAATGAAAATGAAATCCACACCTTCATCTTTGTTGTGCGACTGGGCCAGTTAACAGACGCTGATAAGATGGGTCTTGAATGGCTTCAGAGAGTGTTTGGTGATGGAGTTCTTCAGTTTGTGATGATTCTCTTCACCTATGAGACAGAGGAAGAGTGTGACACTATAATAGATGATCTGAAGAAAAACCTAGCTCTGGAGCAGCTGCTGCAGAAATGTGGAGGAAGATATCAGACCTGCAACAAGATGATGAACAACCAATCAGAGATGAGAGACCTGATGAACAAGATTGAGTGTCTGTGTAATGAAAATAAACAGCAGCTTTACACTGGAGAGATGTACAACACATCATTACGACAGAGAGAAGAGCTGAAAAACAGTGAAAGTGGTAAGAAAACTGATTTTCTTTTAAATGTTGAAACAATAAGTGTCTTGTTTCACCTCAATCAAAACAATTGTATTTACAGTAACAATTTTAACAATGTCTAACAGCCAAAATTGCACCAATATGGTCAAGTTAAGCCGACTCGTAACAAAAAACATGATTTTGTAGTCATAGACGCATACATGCTTTGTATGTATTATCAGACAGTATAAAAGTGACATTTTGTAGCTGAGAAACTAAATTATTCTTAAGCATATTATAAATCTACATTTGAGCAGATATTTCCTAACTTCATATAAACTTTTATATTGTATAGATTTATAGTATTTAGAGCATAAAAACACCCTCGCATTGTACAACATTTAGATGCAATGAAAGGTTACTTATATTTCAAAATGTTGCACTGGATTTCACACATTTTAGTCTGGAATTATAGTTTGGGAAAAGTCCAACTAGTAAAATGCATACAAGTTTATGTCACAATAACACTAATATAAGTCAGAACAAATTACTAATCGGAATGATCTCCTCCACTGCATCAAGTTCTTCGTCTGAGGTAAATACAAGGCTTATTTCTTGTATTAAATATTTCTTATTTCTTATCTTCTTCCAAAAATGAAAAGTATTATAGATTAACTTTTAACTTTCGTGCTTTGTTTATGGAGGTGGTGTGGCTGTTTCCATGTTTGCGCATCTCACGCGGATGATTATCAAATGAATAGCGTGCTGCGAGTGGGTGTGGTCACATTACAGATAATGAGCTCAAATGCGAAAGACTGTACCTCGTGTTGGAGTCACACATATTACTTTATCAGAGAATATGTGTTTTTGATAAAATTTTATTTAACCTGTTAACCCGCACCTGGACGCCGGCGCACTGAACGCTCTTTGTTTGCACGTGTCAATGTTTACGAATAGATTAAATTAAAAGGGACATAATTAATCTTGACAAACTATATATCATTCTAAAGGTCTAAGCCTCAAGCATCGACGATAGATTGCTGTTTTTCAATGGAAAGCTTATAAAGAATGTATTTGCTAAATTTCTGTAAGCTGTACACATCAAAACATACATAATCAAAACGTATTATGTACCAGATTCATCGTAATAACGAGTCACAAACGCATCCACTGCTGTAAATCCCGGTTTAGTTAGAAAGGTAAATGTCCACTGAATAACATCCCATAGAGCACTTTTAGTCCAAAATATCACAGTTCTGTTCATAACGTATATTAAAAAATAAAATAAATAAAATAACAGCAGTTTCAAGGTGGCTTTTTAGAACACTAGTGTTCAAACTTTTTTCCTACCACATGACAAGCTAATAACATGGTTGTCAGCATTAAAAGGTATAATTGCTTTTTGCGGTGCAAATTTTGTTTGTGATGAAAATAACTACGTTCTCGTCAGTTGTTTTACCTACGGATCGATGCATTTCTTACAGATTTCTGCTCGTTTGAAATTGGATACAGATGAAGTAGCACTGTAAGATTACATTTGTTTGAATGCATTATTGAGAGAGCGATTGCGTGTGAATATGTGTTGTAGTACTTGTTTAAATCATGCTTTCAGCTGAAAATATTCAGTATCTAGAAGGAACAAACACGTTCCTTGAGAATTCCTATAACTTCCCGCTCATGTCCAATGTTGTCATCATAGCCTTCATATTCTTTCTGATTTGAGTGATCCTTCCCTATCAATCTGGCTAAATATGTTTAACATGTGAATTCTTGCTAAATATGCAGTTATATTACGGGCTGTTGGCATGAATTGTACTCGTGATGGAGCGGTGGAGGAGCGCTCTTGGAGCGAGTGAAAACCACGCTCCGACTTTTAAAAAATCCACTCCTCGCTCCAGTCAAAATCACACCACTCCACTCTGTGCTCCGCTCACATACTCTGATTGTGAGTAACTGTTGCTGTCATGACAGATCTATTTCAGAACCAGCCGCTATCAAAATAATCTGGCTGCGGGCCAGATATTATTGCTGGGGGGCCAGTTTTTTTCTATAAAAAAGATACACGGAATTACTCAAATTATTCTTATTGTATTTTTCTAGTGCTCAAATAAATCACTTACACGATGTCTAAGATTCTGTCTATTATTTTATAATTGAAAAACTATGCAGTGGTATGTATAATGACTAAAATAGTTTGTATAACCCTTCAATACATTTGGTAAATATTTTTCCTCAAACGGGGAATTAATCTAATTAGATTAGAGAAATCTAATTTTTCATGGTATCTTCTTCAGATTTGAAATATAAACTCATGAGACATGTGACTTTCAACCCATTATTTTTCTGGATTGCTCCAGGACTGATTTCATGTATTTTTCTATGAAAAAAAAAAAATTCAGTGTGGTACAATTTTTTTCAAGGCACTTCAGTGTCTATAACTTTTTATCTTTTTGAGCATTATCAACTCTGATGATGGATAGTAAAGCCCAAAGGGTCTTCTTTCCAAAGACACCAAAATTGTGTGTGTAGCACACTGAAGTCAGGAACTGTTACAATTTTAAGTTAGGTAGGTCATTTTCTGCTGTGAGTCCTAAAATGGGGGGTGCAGGTTAACAGGTTAATGAAGACCCGAAGTCAGTGTGGCTTGACCTCAAATCTTCACAGTCCAGCTGCCCCTTAAAAAAAACTATTATTTGTTCATAACTTAAAGTTAAGCAGAACTCTGTGTAACACTCCTTTAGTACGTAATACTCTCAAAGGCCTGGCGTGCTATTCGAAGGTTGGAAGGCAGGAGCAACATAACTTCTCCTCTTCTGCCAATTTTGAATAACCTGGAGTTCCTGCCAAGTACTATAAACTCTGGTTTTAATTTATGGTCTGTTCTTGGTATATGTAGGATGTGTGACTTGTTTGAGGAAGGACCTTCTTTCTTAGGGGCGGGACACAATCTGGCGCCTGCGCCCGGACCTCTTAAATCTCCATGTCTGGTCTCTGGACAGGACCAGGAGGAATTCAGAGGCCTTCCACCTGCAGCGGTGAATACCATTACTCAGGCCATTACTTCATTACCTGGTGTTCTTCCCAGGGGAGAATCCGCAGAGATGTGGTTTTGGGTCAGTGCTATCCTTCCTCCAAGAGAGCCTGGACAGGCATCTCTCTGCATCTACACTCAAGGTGTACGTGACCACTATAGCAGCGAACCACAACACTGGGTAGCAGATCAGTGGGGAAGCATTATCTGATAATTAGATTCCTGAGAGGTGTGCAGAGGTTGAATCCTCAGAGACCACACCTCTCCTCTCCTCTTGGGATCTCTCAGTGGTCCTTAAGGTCTTACAGAGAGATCCATTTGAGCCCTTTCAGTCAGTCAAGTTTAGAGCCTTTTTGAAGATGGCCTTCCTGACTGCGATCACTTCTATCAAGTGGGTGACTGTCTTTAAACAGAGAATCTCTCACTGGATTGTGGATGCGATTCTCATGGCCTATCAGGCCAGGGGCTTACCATGTCCCTTGGAAGTGAGGGCTCACTTGACCAGGGGCGTTGCTGCTTCATCAGCTTTGGAGACTGGTGCCTCACTAGCAGATATTTGTAGAGCTGCAAGATGGGCTACACCTAATACTTTGACCAGATTCTATAATCTATGAATGGAACTGGCTTCATATAGAATTCATGGTGCTACCTGAATTCAGATGTCTGGTAAGGTGCAGAGCTTGCATATAACACCTTTCCCCTCCCCGAGTTGATAATGTGCGTTTGTTGGTTCCAGTTCAGTTCCTTTTATGAACTCTGAACTACCTTTTCCATCACTCAACCATTCTCACGCAACTGAATTTTGCGGAGGAACTCCCTGCAGAACCCATTACTTGTAAGTATCACTCAAGTGAACTCTTGTATTGGGTTAGTGCTCCATATGTGTACTTTCCACTGCTCAGATCCTATTAGGAATCCCTGGACAGAGTGCTCCTCTGTCCCCTTATGTGGAGCCCACCACAGAACCTTCCCTATGTAGTACTTCCTTTCAGTAAGTCCATAGGATTTATCCCCACGTTACCTCACTTTGGGTAGGATGTGGTCTTCGAAGTGTTCTTTTCTCACTTGAGGAAGAGAACACTCCCAACAACCAGGTCCACCAGCCGTTTAATTTTTATTTAAATAACTTCTGCCACTTATTTGTAACTCTGCCAGTTGAGGAGAAGCAGGTCATATTTCCTGGGTGTTGGAAGGTTATGAGGAGGAGAGGTGCATTTCTTTGCACCACGCTGATCTTTTCAGCATCTGCGCCATTGTGGAACACAGTTCAGCCAGTTGTGGCGCATTGTATAGGGACCCTTAGTGTTGGAATTTTGACACAACATTGAAATGACCGACTGAAATGCAAAGTCTTGACTACGTATGGTAACCCTCGCTCCCTGATGGATGAAACGGAGACATTGTGTCCCTTATACCACAACTCTGAACTGACACTGAGTGGGTTGAGATGCTTTTGAGTGAACAAATGCCACTCTGACTTATTTATACCCAGATGTCCGGGGTATGGCCAGCTATGCAAATTTTGCTTGCCAATTTCATTGGCCTTTTCTCAATGATGTCAGAGGTGTCTAGGCTCCCAAGTGCGACTCCTAGTGTTGGTATTTGCTGAGATTCAACCCAATATCTTTGTTCCCTCCATCATGGAATGAGGGTTACCGTACATAAAAGAGATGCTTTTAATCAGTAGTCAAACTTTCACTGGTTATGCTGTCTAACGGTATATTGTGTACCCCTAGTTAGCATAATGTATTGTTACCTTTTCAATGAGATTTTAGAATATTAGTAAAATGAGCACATTTCAATAGGTTTGGGTCAACTATACATAGAGGAAATTTCATAATCCACATTCAGCTAAACAATAAAAAACCAAATCCAAAATACAGCAGGCAACAGGTGTCCTATTCTGAAGGTGTTCTTTGTGTAAGTAATTCAGGAGTCACTTCCAAATATGCATGTTTGACAGTGATAAACACAAGAACTCGGGCTTCATTACCTTGAATCTTTCATTTAC